ATCTTGAGTGATATCGATTGCTTAGATAATATTATTTTTGCGCATATCAAAGTGCTTGGTATTAAAATTGTCAGGAAATTAGAATTCGTTGGAAATTGCCTCCGGGGTTTCCTTCTGCAAGGAAAATAATTTAAAATTTTGCAGCATCATACATACTTATGTTTCTTACAATTTCTGACGTGCCTATCACACAGACTTCTACTTCATATAGATATTTCTCACAATGCTCATTGTTATGGTCGCTTGATTGGCACTTTTATCTCACACTGCGCCACCCTTTCGCAACTGCATTCATTTCCTCCGCTCACTTCCAACATTCCGGCGTTTTGAATTTACGTTCACACTATTGCATACTCAATATTCCACGGAAATTAATTTCCATCCAGTTTTTACTTTTCCGACACCACGTCTGATACACACATATGCATGTGTTGGTGTATAGAAGAGGATTGAATCCTCCAGAGAGTGGATCTATTGAGGAAATGGACAAATAAACAAACAAAGGAGAGAAAAAGCGGGAAATAAGAGATTGTGTGGCGCTGGAAAATGATTTTGTGGTCACAGGGTCAATTTCTTGGCGATTTATTACGGAATGGAGAATAAATCGTCGCAGGATTTCTGACATGCTCATCTTTCATTGATTTTGATGATAGGTCGACATCCCATCAACACGAGCACATAATTTATCACTATACAGACTTGCAATGTCCTTTTTGTCAGGACACTTTAGCCACGCCACAGCTTTGGACAGGTTTACCACCTCCAGGAGTCCTGATTGGGAGATTATGGGTTTCTTGCTCACATCTTTTCGGCAGCATCTTCGGAAACAGGAAAAGTAATAAGCTCGAGAAATGCAGAGATAGCGACTGGGCGGGCGGCTTTCCCACCCAGCCACAATGAGCTTTTCGATCCCAGAGCACGCCAGACGGGGCGGACAGTTGGCAGAATTTACAACGCGATGCCATACCACTTAATGGCGGTCTCGGGGCTAAACTCTCGTGTGTTACCGAGACATTTTTCATTTGGCGCTTCCAGGAGTATTACGCCACCCTCAGCCGAGAGAACGATAAATACGTCAATTACAGTTGTGTTGTGCACGACGACAGTGCCAGACACTCCACGAGTCCAAGAGCCTACATCCAGTGCCCATTCATCGCACAAGCCCGGCTTAAATATGTATTTGCAACAAACGCTGAAGAATCAATAAGCAAGACCACAATGCCATATATCTTTGCTGCACAACGCAAGCGGAGGAAAGGTAGCTGAGACCAATTCTCACCCCCCCGCAAAACTTTCCATGCACAAAGTCAATGGACAAAAGGAGCCCAACAATTGGTCGGATAAATCTAAACTTTGATATTTGCTGAATTGCCTGAATTGCTTCATTTGCACAAAGTTGGGGGTTTGGAGTTAAGAGAAGTTGTTCCACCATTGCAAGTCCAGATTGCACCGATATTATTATTTATACGGGGAATCTCTTTTAATGCAAAGACATGCAGTGTTCAAGTTGGTGTGGTGTCTCGAAAGTTATCCCAGAGCAGGACCATATATTCAATACAGTTGGATGGAGAAATTCGTACTTATTACTTCGGTTCTCTGTTATCCTGTAAAGTCAGCAAATTTGCAAATATCTCACTTTTCGATTGTGCATCATATTGCTATTTATTACATCTTCACTTTTGCTATGCACAGAAACTTATTTGTGTACTAGAGAAATATGTTGAGAATGTTGTCTCAACGAGCTCAGATGCTGCCCATGTGGAGTGCCGTCCTTTCTCTCCAACACATTAACATCCTTCTTCTCTCAAACTATGTGCATGAAGAAGCGAGGGTGTAAAAGGAGTCTCATGTCCTCTTGATTGTCTAGACTTTAGAATCAACTCTTTCTCTCTCTGTTTTGTCCCTTTTCTTCAGCTCGTGTTTCAATTTTATTTTGCTGTATCGTGTGCAATTGTATCGAAAGGACTCAACCACTCCAACATTCTTTCACCCAATTCAACTCTTTCCCGGGGTGGCACAAGTGATTGTGGGTTAGCCCCGCATGGGGTGAGACACTGTTTTATACCCATGGTGAGTGTGTGAGGAAACATTGTTCTTTTGTTACATTCTCAAGTGGCACTTGTTCTTATCACGCCAAAACGATCATCTGGCAAATGTGGATTTTCCTATAGAAAGCAACCCATTCTCTTTTTCCTCACTTTCGCTCTATGTCTACAATTTTGGGCTTTCCTCGTCCTTGTTATATACTTGCTCTCTCTCTCACACTTCATGCCTCGTTTTCCAACAACATGGGGAACTTTGGAGACCCTTTCTTTTGTCACCATAAGGTGTAAATTCGTCCAAGTTAATAGAACGTGATTCGGTTTCATTTCCAATTCTTCCTACACTGCCTATCGCAAATTCTGCTATTTCACTCGCATGACACAAAATGCAATCATATTGCAGACAGTATTTTGCCTTAAAACTTCCTCAAACGCCCAGAGATGAGGTTGACATTCCCCAATTCCTGGTGAAATCAATGTCACTCCCAGTGGGAATAGAACACTTCTCTCCCCAATGTTGACATGCCGAGAGGAGAAGCATTGGGAAGATCTCCGTCAGTTGAGCCCGTGGGAGTGTGAGGACGAGAGAAAAAAGTATCAAATTCCATTTGGGTCTTGTGCGGTGGGATTGAGTGAAATTGATACCATTTCACAGATAATGGGCCATCATCGAGTTGATGGGAATTTATGCACTTGGCAATCGACAGCCAAAACTCACAGCACCACTCTATTCGCGACAATCCACAAACATCCTCTCCGCGTCTGGGCTGTACGATTTTTGATGGATAAATTGATTTTGTATTAAAATCCCTCTCAATAATGTCGCGAAGTTTACTGGAGTCTGTTTTTTTAGTATCCATCCAAGTATCCATCAGTAAACTGTTGGTTTCTCCGGATCAGTGATTGCTCAGCAACTCTCTTTGATATGCTTCACTTTAAAAAAAAAAATCATTTTCTAACGCTTCGTTAGCCTTTTGATTCAATCCATCCTTCATTGCTTCCATCAGAATATCCTTTTGCGAGAATGTAAAAATGCTATCAAGTGGCGACGCAATGAAAAAGGGCCAGTAAAAGGACTATCGCACTTAAATAGTGTGACAATAAAAGTTCTTTCTTCTGACTTTTCCTTTCCTGGGCGATGACGTTTTATGATTAATCGTTGAACGCGCGCGTCACTAAAACGCTCCACATGCGGAAGCTTTTGTGAGGGTTGGAAAGTCATCATTCGTCTTTGATTCCATAAATACACGAGACAGCGTGACAGTTGAATGTACATGCGCTGGTAAAATTCCCAATGGACGGGGACAAACTTTGGGCTCGGCGCTGCACGGCGTTGGGATTTGGCTTGCAGACAATGATGAGAAGGTGTCACAAGTGACGAAAGCTCCGAAGACGCCACGGTGCGAAGAATGAATAATGGGCAAAAATGACATGCAGGGGATTTGGCGCTCCTGTTCGAGGAGACACAGTGAGTGCAGACACTTCCTCTCCCTCAAGTTTATATCGTCATTTGTTACCCAATTCGACATGCTTCCGTCTCGAGATGGAGGCCCCGAAGGAGGTCACACAGAAGAAATGAATGAGTCACGAATGAGCGAGAAAATTTATTAATGCTCCCCAACCCTCGGCTGTGTTATGGCAAAAGGGGGCCAAATCCGCCAGGGAAGAGCGTCCCGACGCGGTGTTGGTGTGGATAAATTGATGAATTATGTGGAAATGATATGTCTGAGGCGGAAATTTAAATAGGAAAACCACACTAAATGAAGCATGAGCAAATGAGAAAAATGATGAAAACTGCATTACAGTGTCATTGTCATATTGTAAATTCCGCAATTTCTCATTTTTCCTCATAAAAGAGCATTGCCAACAGTGTCATGGTTGCGGAAAAATACAACTCATTTTGTATTCTATTTACCACATCTGTTTGTGATATTGTCCAGTTTGCAGGAGATAATAATAATAACTAGTTTAGGTGAGATCGTTATTGCTATTACTATCGGTGCCATTTTCCACTCACCGACTCAACTCTTCTGAATATATTTTCTACGAAACTCCCCTTTGATTTTCTTTGTAGTCATTTTTGCATCACAATTCTCCCCAATCTCTTTTCTGTTCACAGCAACGGAATGAAATTGTATTAACGCGCGCACAGAGAAGAACAATGCGAAATGAAGGAAAGTAATTAAAATTGTCTCATATTCTGCACCTCATAACGATGTAAATTTCACAATATGACAAAAAAGAGGCGAAATGCATTTCTGAGTAGTTTTAATTTCAATCAATAACCGGAAGATATGACGCAACATAATTGCAGAATGACAATGGAAAATAGCGTGCAATTTATTATTTTCAATGAGAATAATTTTAGTAATTATTCTCATTGAAATGGAGAAAGGACACAGAGTTGATCAGGAAAAAGCAATGCATGACAAAGGCGCATTATTTCACGCAGCAATATTTCCATAGACGCTGTAAAGTTCCTTTCACCCACCAAAACCCATGAAAAAGCTTGCCTATTGAGGAGCTTTTTCTTCTCCCCCTTTTCTTCTCGCGCCCTAGCCACCCATTGTTGGGAGCGGGTGAAATACGGCAACAGAGAGAAGACGCAAAGCCACTAAATAGCACCCAGGGATGACTGTGAGATAATGGAAGAAGGATGAGTTGGTGAGAATAGGAGAATTTTTGTCTCCTTTGGCACGCGATTTGTCGCCATGGATTCCCTTCATTGGCATTTTGGGGGGATATTTTAAATCTCCATCGATGGCTCCCCATTGTGATTCGGGCCAGAGCCACTTTTTGGCTTACAGAGCGAGAAACTTGCTAATTTATTCGCAAACTCACTCATTGAATTGCCACGCGGAAGGATCTCCTCTTCTTGCATGGCTAATCATTTAAATTAATATCAATTTGTGTGTGAGGGAGACTTTTTTCATCGCACTCCTGCTTTCCACTCTCCAGGTTTCCATTGTTCGACGATTGCTGCGGAGCCGTGGAGCGGAAGAGGCGACCAGCAGCAAGAAGTGGCAAATCTGCAGGAAGCGCGGGGATGCTGTGAAGTGCATTGCGGGATGTGAGTCATCCAAGGGGCGCGGTGCATCGCGACGAGAGGCGGAGAATGTGGGTGGGTGGCAGGAGTGCCACTTGCAGAAGCATCACAGCCAGTCAACAGGACGACAAATACTCCTCGGGAGTAAGCACAAAAGGCGGATTTACAGATGCATCAAGCGACTGTTGAGGAGACAATTTAGAGAGCGATTAGCTGAGAACGACCAAGTTACTTATATCGAGGTAAAGCTGCAGCACTTTTCATATACCGACAGTGTAGAATTGCAATCAAATCCCTCTTATGGCATAGAATGGAACATTCAACAAGTATGACTTGAGAACGAGGTCAATCCACATTGTTTACTAAGCGAATCGCGAAATTAATATTGGATATCTGCGGAGTTTACTGCGCTATATCCGACAAACATCATTCAGCACGAGGAATGATTGGAAATATCAACAATAAATTCGCTACGCTCTCATCGATGTCTCTAATTAATTTGCTCCGTGCCTTCCTTGCAGGTTGCTAACAACATCAAAATAATCAACAATAATTTACGAGGCGCGCCGGCGACTCCGTCCAGGACCCGCGCGTTGAACGGCAACGGGAGCGCGGCAGGCGGCGCCATGCAGGACGTGCGAGTGCGCCTGGAGCGGCCGACGCACGGCTCGCCGCTGCACGCGGTGCAGCAGCGCCCGGCGCACCTGTTCCAGAAGGCCGGCGTCACACTCACGTGCGACGAGAACGTGAACATCACGGCCATCCGATCGCCCAGCTCGGAGGAGGACAACTCGCCGACGGAGATGAACAACTGCCGGCGCCTGGTGGAGAAGCCGCCGCTCGTGAAGCGGCTCACGATGGGTCTGCTGCGCGCCACGGAAGAGAGCCGACCGCTGGTGAGGAACGCCGGCTCATCGATCACGTCTGGATCCACGCACACGATCTGCGATGGATACGTGAACGAGGGCATTTGTGATCCGGAGCGCATCATCTCGAGCAAATTCGGCGACTCGTGCAGGAAGAGTCTCATGTCCATGACGATGGACACGCGAGCGGACAGTCACCATGAGTTCAGCTTCAAGAAGAACTTCCTGCGAGAGACGAGCAGTGGTGAGTTGAAATATCCGTTGAGTGCATTTGAAGATTGAACTTTATGTTTCAACGACGTTTCATGTTTCATATGAGTTTCGACCTCCTGACAAAAAATTTCTAATTTTTAATTTTCTACAATTGTCTTTATTCTTTCATTCACCAGCCAACTCCAGCCCCAAAATATTTGGTCCGTCGCTGCGATCGGACCACTTGAGCCTGGCAGAGCAGAATGAACTGAAGGGCGCCGCGTGGTTTCAGGCGGGAATCCCGCGGGAAATCTCGCTCGAGGTGCTGTCGAGACAGAGTCCAGGCGCCTTCCTCGTGCGACAGAGTAGCAGCAAACCGGGATGCTTCGCTCTCTCGCTGAGAGTTCCTCCGCCGGCGCCCAAAGTCGCCCACTATTTAATCCTCAAGACGCCGCGAGGGTACAAAATCAAGGTGAGCGAAAGTCTGAATGGAGCATTTTGGCGGAATTTCTCACAGATTGCTTTCGCTTTGCAGGGTTTCACCAAGGAATTCTCCTCCCTTCGTGCTCTAATAACTCATCATTCTGTGATGCCGGAACTCCTCCCGGTTCCACTCTCGCTGCCGCGGCCGCAGAACATGGCTCCGCCGCGGCGGGACTTGGATGACTTCGACACTTATGGATCTCTCAATGATTTTCGCAAAATGATGGCCGATCTGAACGTCTGAGGACTCGCTAAGATGATGTGGAAGCCGAAACATGTGCCGTGAATTGTGAAAAGATGATAAATTCACAAAGAGAATATTTTAAAATGGACTCAAATATTGATGAGCAAAATGAGGAAGAAAAAAAGTGGGAGTAATTTTTAAACGAGATAAAATTGTGTGAAAAATATATATTTCGAAATGTAGAAAACAATATATAGTAATATAATATTAGAAGTACATATTATCTTATATGTGTTGAAATGTAACGTTTTATAAAGATGAGATTTGAGGAGCACTCGTGTAACCAATTGAATGATGATAAATATCCAAATTTAAATTATACGAAAAGTGACTTAAGACGAATATATAGTGAGAGATTTAATGTCCTTTTAGGCAACGGAAAAGACACATGAAATTAATTGAGGGGAGTGAAAAATATATCAACGGAAAAATGTTATTTCTCATTTGTCACACAGTAAATGGAAAAAATCTAATAGCGCAATGTAAAATCTATCCAATATCACAGACGGAAGGAAAACTCAATAGAAAACCGTATATATTGCTGTATTGTGAACAAATCTCCCTTTTATATTAAAGAAAAAAAAATCTTAATAACTTCCTTGACTTTAATGTAATGAGACAATTTTTTTGTTAAGATAATCTTTTACTAGTCACAATAAAGAACATCTGGTTATGTGACGGTGTTTTATTAGAGTCAAAATTCTCGTTTAGACACCTTCAGATGAGTAAAGCAAGTGAGTCACAGAAGGAAACAAGGGGAAAAGTTATTCACTTTCACAGAATCTTTATTGTCAAACCACTTTTTTATAGTATCTTTCCTACTCAATGATATGCAAGGAAATTCCTAATACTGAATTACACTTTGCAGCAATGGTACATTTTTTATTTCATTCAACCACCTAAACTTAAATCCATTCACCTCACAACAAATTAAGAAAGAGATGCTTTGAAATACACTCGTTTCGTTGTCTAATTCTAAAAGCCTAACAAAGAACAACACCTACAAAAAATCGCAAGTGGCCTAAAAGTGTTCCTTCGTCACTCAAATAGGCACATTGTTCTGGATATTAAAATTGCCTTATTGCAAGGAAATCCGCATAAAAGTGATATAATTCCCAGAAATTCAATAATTTTATCAAGACGAATTTCTTAATACTTTTTTTTTATTGACGATATTTCATATTTACTCATTATAATCTATAGGAATAATTAAAAGTTCATTGATATTATTGTCGATCACAAGATTTTACACAAGACATAGAACTTCTGCGAGGGATTCTCTCTAAATTTATCCAAAGAAAGAGAGAGAAAGAGAGCTACAGAAACAGCTTCTCTTTGATTAAGCGCTTCAGAAGCTACTGCGAAACGCTCTAATCGTCATCTCATGCATGTGAGTTACGATTGACTAGGATAAGTATTTAGGAGAAGCACAATTATTTATTTCATGCAAGCTGAAAGAATCATACCTACAGAAAAAGTGTGACCCGTTATCAAATATACATAATATACGTAAACTTTCACCTAAGCAAAAGTAAAAAAAAAAACACAATCTAAAATATCTATAAAAAAATCAATAATCGCGATAAAATTGAATTACTCTAGAGTGAAATTAAAATCCGTAAAACGAAGCCTTAATGCTTCCATGTTTGCAACTCATTCAGGAGATTCTCCATGATGGGATTGCTCCCGTGCTTCAGCGTCTCGACGCGAGCCTCCCTGTCCAATGACTCAAGCACTTGCCGTGTGTAAGTGAAACTGCCCAATTTCTCCATCACGCCCACGCAGTACCGCTTCACTTCCTTATTCGTCGTCCTCTGCCGTAGGATTTCTGCCGCGTGAGAGAAGGTAAACAACAAATTAGGCCATTATTCAGAGAGGTGAGTGTTTATGTTGAACAATAATAAACACAAGTTCTGGCCGAGGAAATGTTTACAGTGCTGAGAAATTCAATTCAACAATGATGCTCAACATTGTTTACAACATTCTCTCATGATGATTGATTCCTTTTCGCCGGAAAACATGTAAAATTAGAACTTTTGAGAAATTCAAAAGTTGAAAAATCAACATCATTGCAGCATTATCACTGTTGTAATTATCGGAGTAAATTTCATTGACATAGAAAGTGTGTTCAAAGACACTATTTTAATTTCTTTATCGCCATTCAAGGCCCTCAAGTTGCAATGCATTTTGAGTAGTTTGTCAATTTTTCAAAAGCTTATGTAAGAGTGAACGATTTTGAAATAAAGTCAAGTAAACAAGATCGATCACTATTCAATTTTCACACAGAAAGCTATAATGATATGTCGAATAAGTAGTTTATGGACAGAGTTGATACGTCGCTTAGTTTTTTCTTCTAATTTCATATTCATATCATTAGTTTTGTCACATTATCTGAACTTTAACTTTTCTTCTGTGCATCTTGAGCGCGTCGTTATGCAAAAATTTGATAACAACTCAACAAAAATATCTTGCGAAGTGGAATCTCCCACTTTCATTTATGTACAACACATAAATAAATAAATTATGATTGCAAATGTTCATATGGAAACAATATGGATAACAATGACTCTGTGAGGGCAATGATGACATTCGAAATATGCATTGTTTTTAACTTTGCAGCACTAATCAATCTATTGCAAAGGATTGTAAGGATACTTACGGAACACTTGACGGTCCGATCCTTCATGCTGAATGGCGTGAATAATGGGGAAGCTGTACTTGCCCTCAGTGAGATCCTCGCAGTAGCTCTTGTTGTCCGCATAATCCTTCTCCATCAGGTTGCAGTAATCGTCGCGAATCTGGAAGTACAAGCCCAGGAGCGCCGTGAGCTTCGTGAAGTCCGTCTTGTTCTCGCTGAAGAGCTGCATCAGCCTGATGGCCAGCATGAAGAGTCCGCCCGTCTTGCGGATCGTCATCTGCTTGTAGTCACTCTCCGAGGGGCAGTGGAAGTTGTCACGCCAGTAGATCTCCATGCCCTGGCCACGATGGAGCTCCAGGAGTTGCTCAGTGTACACACGCGTGGCATCCGGATGGCCCAGCGCCTGCACCTTCTCCAGCGCGATGAACATGGCATAGTTGGCAGAGTTGATGGTGGACGCCTCGCCGTAGATCGTGTGTGCCACTGGCACGCCGCGACGCAGGATCGAGTTGTCTTCAATGTCATCGAGTCTGCTCAGAAGACAAGAGAGGAGGCACAAGAGAGTCAATTCGCCTGACACTGTCCAGAAGGCGCTTCGGCGCAAATACTCACAGAAGACTGGAGTTGTGTAGCATCTGGACAATCTTTCCGATCTCCTGAATCTTCTCCTGCGGAATATTCAGCCACTGATTGAAGGCCATGGCCAGCTTGCTGCGCACTTGCTTTCCGGGTATTTGGGAAATGTAGAGGAAAGGCTGCAGAAGGATCTAAAAATATACTCCAAAAAGAGACGGCATGAGCAACACCCATACAATCAATTGAAGCGATTTGCTGAGCGACCACTTGAACCCATTTTTTGCTGCACTCAACTTCCAAAGCAAAACAATGCCCAATTATTACGAGTTATTTTGGGATGCAACGGATCTCAATGGACAAAGCGCACAGAGTTCAAAGATATAAAAATAGCCAAATCGGGCATTTAATGCGTGAAATCCTGTGCCTTCTGGGCCACTGAGGAAACACCGAGAGCTCACCTGATCCTGCTGCTCCTGGCACGACTTGTCCTGGCACTTCTGCAGGATCTGGTTGAATTCCCTCTCGTCGAAAGACGAGTGCTTGCTGGTCTGCATGCTGCTGGAAGCTTGGCTCTCGGGAGGATCTTTGGAACGACGTGAGCCGCTGATAGGCACAACTGGAACTGTGCCACGAGAGTGGCTGCCGAAGACCTCTGCAGAAGCAGCAAAGTCCACTGCAGGAGGGGAGCCCGGAGGGGTGGGATGCGGACCCATTTTTTTCCCACGTAATCTGCCAAACGATGACATTTCGCGAAGCAGCGCCTCCCGCGGAACTGCGGCGAAGGAAATCGGAAAATTAGTGGGAAATTTGCCACAGCTCAAGAGGCCTCTTGTGAGATTATTATCACGCCACATGATGCTGTGGTGTTTCCTTGGCAGGATGCACAGCCTCTCGTGCCTCTCCCTTTCTCCAGTGGCTCAAAAAACCGGTCATATGGTTCCACTTTCGCGCCAGCCATTTAGGCGCCCGCGAAAAACCGCCAACAAAAGCATGGCACAACAGAGCGATATGTCGATCCCGACTGGCGAGTCTTGATATCGCTGAATTAACCCGTTAGATCAATTAATTAAAATATTATGCCAATTTCCCGGAATTACATTGAAATTATTTTTTGCAAACTTTCTCAAATTAACAAAAGTTTTCTTGAAATCATGCTGACATATTCCCGTATTAATTTATCAGTAAAGCATATTTTAAAAGCATAAAGCATACAATTTAACAAAACATTGAGAAAGATAAGGAGAAAAACTTTTATCCCTTTTATCATATTTCGCATGGCATATTAGATGACGATATGGTTCTTTGTTCACAAATTCTGATATTTCCCCTCAAAGCAATGCACAGTGTTTTGTCCATGCATATTATTGGAATAAAACCCAGAGATACAGCTTTTTGCTAAAAATAGATTTCCTTGTACAATAGAAACTGGAAACACCGAATACAACAATACGACAAAAATTTTTTTAGGAAATCCTTCCACGTGTCTCTTATTGGATTTTTTTTTTAATTTTTAACTTCACAGATTTATTTTTTTGTATATCTCTCGCCGAATTTTCATACAAACCTTCAGCAAAACTTCAAGATTATATTATTTCACTGACAAATACAATTACAAATTCTCTATTATATTGCCCACTTATTGTCCACTGCAAAATGCCAACAACTGATTCAAATGAAGCCAAAAAGATGTTTGGTGTTTGACAGCTCACAGTGCTGCCAACCGCAAGGCTGAAATAAATCCCGAATAGTCGCGATGCAGTAGCAAAACCAGTTGTTCCTAAGCCCAGAATTTTTCTTCTTGTTCATAGAATAAAATAGCATGAAAAAGTAGTTTCGCGTTAAGATATCAAGAGTTTTCATGAAGAAATTCTCTGCTGAATTTTTCTCGCTTCTCTAGAGATTGCTTAGAGTCTTGCTTAGAGTAAATGGCACTCAGTACCAAAATGGTACTAATATGGTACCGAAACTGAGTGAAGTGAAGATAGTCGACTGTTCTGCTGAGTTCCCCAGTCTTTTGACGTGTTAATGTTTTGATTTCTGCTACGTGGTGGAAATCTCTCAGAAAATCTCCGTTTTCTCTCAAGTTTCCGCACAATTTCTGCGTGTGCCTGCACCATGGCGGCTGCTGCTCCGCCCTTGACGCCATGGAGTCCGGACAAGAAGCACAGTGACCGAGAAAGGTGAGATTTTGCCAGAATTTCATCTCTCCATAACGTGCATAACCTCTAGAGTGTTTTGATCAAATCCTCTTATTCCAGATGGGTCTGCATTTATCCTGCCTACATCAACTCCAAGAAGACCAAACAGGAGGGAAGGAAGCTCTCCAAGGAGAATTGCGTCGAGAATCCCACCTACATTGAGATTCGAGACGTTCTCGCTGTTGCCAACATGAGAATCGCCGTGGAGAATAAACTCTACTCCCGAGAGAAAAGCAAGGTCAGGCGACCTGTTTAGTGATTCAAATACGTTTCTGAATAATGATGTCTGTTGTAGGAATTGGCGTATCGCGGGCGAATACGTGTGCAATTGAAGGAGGACGATGGAAAGCCACTAAACCCAGACTTTCCCACGCGAGACAGCCTTTTGCTGTACCTGGGCAAGATGATTCCGCAGCTGAAGAGTCGCCAAGGTGGAAAGGGTGGCGGAGAAGCGGCTGCCAGTTCGTCCACCTCTTCAGTGCCACACAAGAAAGGCAAAGGCAAAAGGCGCTGAAGGATAATGAGGTCAGGAAAATCTGCATTATTTTGTACTAAAATATATTTTTCAGTTGATTGGACACTTTTTGCACTTTGGGTGGGATTGAGTGGCTCTAGAGGGCCCTTATGATGTTCCCTAGGCGATTGGGAGAAACGTCTCGGAGAACCTCTCTGAGCTTGAAGTCCTTAATCTTGGCCAGCGTTTCGACGACTGTGTCGTCCGCCGAAGTGTCCACAGCAGCAGCGAGTTTATCAATCTTCTCTTTAAGAATATTATCTCGGCGGGGAGCGAGGGCCTTCAGCTTAAGTGCTCCCACATCGTCAAGCCTGTGAAGTGGGATCGCACGCACTTTGTCGCGCAGTCTGTCGTATCCGTCCTTGAGATCGTCGCGCACTTCATTAAGGATGTCGCGTCTATGGCCAGGCAGCACTGGCAGTGGACTGAGAAGATTCTGCTTGAGCTTCAGGATCGCCGCGTCGGCCTTTATCCTGCCCACCAGTGAACCAATATCGCCAGCCAATCCTGGCGCTCCCACGAGAGTGTCTTCGAAGGCCATGGGCTCCTCCTTGCCACTGCGCCACGGGTTTGGCGAGTGGATGTTGTACACACTGCGTCCTCGTCTCTCGTTCGTGTGGTAGAAGTCCTTCTGATCGGGCGTGAGATCACGCACTTCACGCACGAATCTGCGGCCTGCACTGCCCTGAATCAGGACGTCGTAGGGCAGATTGAGCGTGTCGCAGTGCGTTTTGAGCTTCGCCAGGCAATTCACGTCCTTATCGGAGTCTGAGAGACATTCGCAGATGCATTCTTCGCCACAAAAGTATCCTAAACAACCGCATTCACTGCATAATGAGACACACTGCGTCCTGTTGGCGATATCATTGATCGCTTCGCTCGGAATAGAGTGACTGTGAGCTGGAAATGAAGCAAGAATAGCAATTTTAACTCACAAAACCACCAATAAAAAGATAATCCTATTAATCTTGTCATTTATCGTTTTTTTTTTAGTTAAACACAATGATAATTGAATACACAATTAATTACCATTTTTGAACAATATTAGCACCAGAAGACACTGCAAAATCATTGTGAGATAATCCATAATTTCACTGGTATCACAAAAAAATGGTCCTTTTGTAGAATAATTCTCGTCGCACACTCTCGATTAACGCTCACTCTTGGACATATGAAAGAACTTTGGCTGTAATTCAACGAAATAGATGAAATTTATAAAGGCAACCATTGTTGCTTCATCGCCCAATGTTTTTGCACTGAGCGTTTATTTATTTGGAAAAAGTCACTTGTGTGTACAAAACTTCGCTTCCGCTATGTTTTGATTTTTTTTCTGCACATTTCGTGGACTATTCTCGCGAATGCGTTAATTTTTTAGGTGACACAAATTCTTGTTTTCTGTCCACCATGAAGAAAAGAGTCACTTTATCGCCGTGACATTGGGAATTTTGGGTGGAAAATAGACAAGAGCAATGATTGAGTGAAAATGAACGTGGACGACAGAAGAGCGTCAAAAAGGCAAAAAACACGAAAAACACGCACAAAATTGTTTGTGATTCGTTGGAAATGTGCGTAAAGTCCAGGAAAAGTGCTAAAGCAGCTACTAAACTAGTGCAGAAGTTGCAAATATAAAGAACTTTTAGTAGGTATTTGTCTTATTAACATTTTATTTGTCAAATATAATAATTTGTAACGTTTTATACATTATTTTCACTTACACAACCTCGTAAAATACTTCAAATATACATTATTGGATTCTTTTCAATAATTTCAATGTATACTTCCAATCCCTGCTTGGCATTCCCTTTTTACTATCGAAGAATTTTCTCGCATGTTTAGCCGGTGAGAGTGTTTTAAAGTGTAGTGACATCGTCAGATTAGCGCAACAATAGGAGGTGAATTTGGAAAAAAAAGAACAGAAAGACTTGAAATTATCACAGATTCTAACATTAATATTTGAGCTTTTGTTAGTCAAAGAGCACAGAAATTTGAAATGCAATTGCTAATTAATCAGCAGTGGCTCAAAATCATCGATCAAGGCGGAAGTACACAATTTTCTCTTTTAGTCACTCTTTCAACTTATCGGATTTTCTCATCCTACATCTAGGCAGAGTTAATAAAATAACTTAGAAGTAATACATGATAGAAAGGTATAAAAAAATCAAATACGAAGCACATTAGGCAGGTTCTGTATAATGTATAGGTTTTTTTTTCTTTCTCTACAAAAAAAAATAAATTACATCCGGGCAGTTTTTGCGGGGCGGCATCAGCTGGATGAATCTCAATCGTGATGTTAGATTTATACTCAAAGGGAAGAACCATTTGGAAAGAAATCCTCGTGGCGTGATTGGTCGAAGGTGGAGGAGTACTTAAACTTAAGTATATTGTAGCTTTTAATCTTAAGCTCGTGGGTGTGAGAGATGATTCTCGAGTTAGGACCCTCAGTTGACTACTTTGCTGGAGGAGCCTGCGTGTGCTCTTGGCACCCTTCCACATTCTCTGGCCAGTCGCACACGTTCTCCGAGGGGTTGAACACCAGATTGGCTGGACATGGCATGTGATGCTTCCTCTCGCCCTCACACATGTAGTAATGCGTGCAGTCGTTGTTGTCACGGTGGTAGCTGATGTGACCATCCTCCTCGGCGCAAGTCACTTCGTTGGCTGCAAAAGAGAGCGCGTGAATTTCGGCTGTTCGCCAGTGCTTTTGCCGCGGACTTACGATCTTTCGTTGTGTAGGCTCCGCGAGGCCCGTGAGACTCGAACGGACCGTCGTACTCTAGAGGGACTTTGTAGTCCTTCAGTTCGGTGTTGAGTGCCGACAGCAGAGGATACCGTCCACTGCCGCATTTGCCCGAGAAGTCATCCATGTCCACAGACCAAACCATGATGCCACCGAATCCTTGCTCCTTCAGCCATTGCATCTGTTGACAAGCAAAGAGAACCAAGGAGTATTAGAGAATCTGAGAGAAGAGCACTTGCTGTCTCCTTACCTTTGTCTTCAAGGACCTCTCATCGTCGAATCCGACCCATTGATCTTTACGGTAGGCAAATGGCACTTGCTGCTCGGAATCCCAGACGAGAGTTGTGTTGCTTCCAGCCAAGAAGGCGCAGATCTCGTAGTAACTGAGGAATCCAGCCTCGCTCGTGAACTTCCCTGGATTTCCTCCGCCACTGGCAGGAGCTCCGATATCGAACTGTGTGTTGTTCACGAGGGTGAAGGTGCGACCATAGGTGGGCATTCCAATCAGGAGTTTCTCCTTCGGCGCCCCCTGTTTCACCCACTCTCGGGCACTGAAGTCCACGGTGAGCTTCTTCTGGTAGCCAGTGGCAGAATCCAGGGGATAGAGAGGGGAGTTGTGGCCCACTTGGCGTTCCCATTGTCCGTGGAAATCGTACGTCATGACGTTGATGTAGTCCAGATACTTGGAGATCTCAGGGACATCGTATCCCGCGGCGATGGCCTCGAACGACGCTGGCACGGCGGCCGTGAGGAGCAATCGTGGCTGTCCAGATGTCTTAGCTTCGCCCTCAAAGGCGACTCTCAGTTCTTTGAGCAGGTTCACGTACGCTACCCTATCATCGGCTCCTCGAGGATATTCCCAGTCCACATCGAGGCCATTGAATTGGTACTCGCGCAGGAACTCTATGGCTTCGTAGACGAACTGATTCATGCGGAAGACGTTAGATGTGAGCTCCTTGAATGGTGTGGAGCCGAAAGCCCATCCTCCGATTGCCAGCAGTATTTGTAGCTCAGGATTTTTCTCCCTCAAGGCAATAACCTGATCGTACATGTCGGGATCATCGTCACTGGCTTCGCTGAGTTTGTGATCCTTAAGAGTGGCGAAGGCGTAGACGAGATGAGTGCAAAGCTTGGCGTCAACATCCTTGGGTTCGAACTTTCCGGCTCCTGGTCGCTTGGCTGACCAACTGGTTAGGTAGCAGAAAACTTGAGCAGGACGAGCTGGAAGGACACGGAATTAATAAAAGACTTATCGAATTAAGATAAAGTAGGATACTAACAGTGCTTGTCGATTGTAGCTAATCCATGCTTGATCTTGTTGATCTTCGATGGCTTCCTCACTTTGTCCAGCAACTCAGACACGGGAATCTTAATTGCCTGAGGCTTCGGCTGTTCCACTGGCTCGTCATCGAATGTGGCAGCAATCTTGCTCCAGTCGACATCCTTTTCGTCTTTGGCACGCTTGACACCTCGGAGTTCCTCTCGCATGGCCGAGATCAGGGGATATTTCACCTTTCCGCCGCAAATGTTACCTGAGAAATCATCCATGTCCACAGTCCATACCATGGCTCCGCCGTATCCGCCTGTCTTGATCCATGTCATCTTGTTCCGGATGGAGCGCTCATCGTCGAAGCCGACCCACTGATCACCGCTGACCAGGTAGGGCACCTTCATCTCATCGTCCCACACGTAGATGGCACCGTTGAGGAGCATTTCGCAGATCTCGTAGTAGGCCAGGAAGCCGGCTTCCTTCGTGTAGTCGCCCGCCTTTCCGCCGCCACTCGCCGGAGCATTGACGCCGTGCTTAGCGGTGTTCGCCAGGGTGAAGGTGCGTCCGTAGGTGGCCATTCCGATCACAAGCTTCTCCTTGGGCGCTCCCAGTTTCACCCACAGTCCGGCTGCGTGATCCACCGACAACTGCTTCCTCCACTCAGAGTCGCTGGACGGGGCGTAGAGTGGGGCGTTGTGTCCTGTCTCGCGTTCCCACTTTCCGTGGAAATCGTACGCCATGAGATTGATGAAATCTAAGTAGCTGGCGACAGCCGGCACATCGTAGCCTCCGCGAACGTTGTCCGGACCCACAGGAACGGCGGCAGTCAGCAAGAGTCTGGGTTTTCGGATCTCCTGAGCTTCGGCGTCGAATGCCTCCTTCAGTTCTGAAATTGACAAAATTACCCTTACTCACTTGCACTCGCGGTGGTTTTTCGATCGAGCATACCTTTCAGCAGCAGAACGAAGTTCTTCTTGTCATCGGTGCCCTTAGGATACTCCCAATCCATGTCCAGACCATCGAAGGCTCTCTGCCTGAGGAAGGGAATGGCGGAGTAGATGAAGGTCTGCCTGGCGTAGCGCGAAGCTGACATGTCCTTGAACTTCTGTGTGCCAAAGGACCACCCACCGATGGCCAGGAGCACCTTCAACTTGGGATTGGCCTTCTTGAGGTTTGTGATGCGCGCGTACAGGCCCGGTGTGCCGTCTTTGGTCTCATCATTGCTCTCAAAGGAGCTCAATTTGCCCTTCTTGAGCCACCCGAATGCGAAAATGATGTGCGTACAGAGATCGGCGGGAATGTCCTCGGGCAGGTATTTGCCGATCTTCGTGCGATATTGCGACCAATTTGTGTAGTAGCACACGATCTTGTAGCCATCCTTGTCCACGCCGGCACTCTTGCTCGTGATCACAGCCGTTGACGCTGCTCCCGCGACTGCAGCACTTGCCGCGCCCACGGCGATGCGATTCTTGTGGCGCACGCGGAACCTATTCACCGATGGCGCCGGAACTTGATCCGAACGATCCTGCGCCTTGTCAGCTACAGCATTTGCACGTGTCGTGCTGGACGTGGCTGTGCGGACAATGGCTGGACTTCCGGTCGGTCGACGCAATCTCCGGCGTGTATTGGCTGAAATGACAAGAGATGCAAAAAAGAGAAATTGTAATTGCATAGGTAATTAAAGATATATTTAATTTGCCAGAGTCAATATCTAGATCAAACAACGTGTGGCAATTTACGATCGCTTTCGATTACTTTGATCTTCATTTCTGCCATATCTCTCATTCCTCATTCACTCTCTCTCTGCATCTTCACACATAGTGATCGCAATGAATCAGCGCATGTTGGCAATTGATCGCAAATCCTATTGATTTGCTTCATGCATAATTAGCGGTTGTCACTGCTGATGAAGCATTTCCAGAGCATTGAATTTCTTCAACATCTCACTGCAGAGTTTTACTTTGTTTCAATGATCTTTAAAAAGTTACATTGAGGAATTTTAAAGTGCTAAAATTATACGAATTCCTAATGCAATAAATGCCAATGGCCATTCTTTAAGCATGTAAAAAATGTTTCTTTATCTCTACAGACAATAATAATATTTTCTCTGGCAGAGCCTCAAGTGGGAAAAGGCGTGAAAATTACCTTGTGCACTGTCTGTTTGTGAGAAGAAAATGGCTACGAGAAGACATAGAACGAATACCAGTTTTATCAATCGTGGCGGCAGCTGAAAGAAAAGAAATTTCATCATTAGAAAATAAACTATCACCTTATGACTACTATTAGATGCGATACGGTGGGATGAAAATTGTAGAAAATTACTCAATAATTGTCGTGGCGATCAAAGTGATATGTTAAAATGACGATCTCACTTGTGTGATCGAAATCGACCCAATTTCCCCTCCTTGAGCGCTCATAAAAGATTTTATATGGCTCGTATTTAAATGCAATTAGGCTTTTCTCAACCATAGAGAAACTGTATAATATTTCAATATGTGATGAATTTATTTTCAAAAATCTCCATGAAGTATTGTGACAAATGTTTGGGTGAATTTTTTTTTTACAAAATCCATATCTCTTTTGTCACAACTCCTGTGGCAAATGTGCAAGAGCGCCGCAATCTTGAGTCATCTCACGACACTGGCTGATCGCTCTCGTGGCAAAATGCGATCTCGATCGTGTATCTTGGATTAAGTAATATCCTCAATGTATGGTAGCAGCAATGAAAATTGTACCAATTGATTTATTGCCTTTTCTGTCATACGGAATGGAATTCTTCTCGGATCTACTTTGCATAATTATGATCATATTGTGATTGTGGGTCTCAAACTTGAGTGAAGGAGGAGACAGTCAAATTGTAGGTACAAACGATATTGAGCAACTGGATTACTCGTCTTTCAAATTTCATCAAGTCTTGCTCAACACATTATTCTGCAATTCATTATTAAAATACATGTACATATATGTGTGTTATTTTTTCTGTATCGACTCATCTTCCCATTCATTTAATGATCGCGATTCTTGCCGTGATGGCGTGTGGGAGTGAATGCTTCCAATCACTGGCTGATCTGTTTCTCTGATGGCTGCGAAATCCGAGTGCAAATCAGCATTGAAAAATTGTTACACAACTTGCAGCATAATTTGATGGCAGCGGCAGAAGGAAGAGAAGCAAATGCGAAGTGTGTAGAGTGATGACAAAAAAAAATAGAAAAGGAAAGAAAAGCGATAAAATGCTAATATATTTCCAACGTGAGATTGTTCACATAAAACTATGCAGCAGACAAGACAATTAGCCTTTTACATTTTGCAATATATTTTTGAAATTCAGTAGAAATTGATCTTATTAATCTTCCACAGAGTTTGCATCACATTGCAATCGTGGCCCGAGACATTTTCTCTGAAAGTGTGTGGCTCAAGTTTAGCGTGATCTTCACTCAATGTCTCAATCTTGTGGTCTCAATGGGATTTTTCCATGATGTTTGATGCGGAAAAGAAGCGTGTGACAAGTGATATATAAAACATAAACGGAAGTGACATTTTTCCATTGTCTTTAACCCGACTTAAAGTCTCGATTAAATGGTAATTGAGCTTATTTTTGCCTCAAGAAAGTGCACATTTTCCATCGAAGACTATAAATAAAATATAAATGTCGGCAGAGAGACTCAGGAAGAAGTAATCAGAAGTGATGAAGAGAAATCCTCCATTGATTGCGTGCAATTAGTTGCACGAAACATGATACATTGAAGATTTCTTTCTTTCATGAAATTTATGCTTCGTCCCAGAGATGGATGATACGGAAAGTTAAGCAACTGTGCAGCATAAATAAATAAATTCATCTCGGAAGATTAACCGCGAGGTTTGTTTTGAGTCTTCATTCACTTTATAGTGACGGCGACAGGTAACTTTTATGAGCATACGCGATCTTGCCAGTAACGTTCTTGACCTCGTTTCACACGAAAATTTATTCAGTGATTTTTATAAAGCACAATTGTCTACACTTCTGTGTGTCATTAATTGCCCAGAATTTTGTATGGTGTCTGCATGGAAAAAATAGCCAAAAAGCCCAAACAATTCGAAAAATTGAGGCGAAACACGACCATTAACCGCACCGAAATGACTAGCCTAAGTATGGGCAATTTTATTCAGACACATTTCACTCAATTTGAATACAATGTTGTCCATTTCTTACACATCATATAATCAAGAGAAGAAAACTTTTCGCACACAGATACAAACTACTTTCAAAAGATATATCATTAATAATAAAAGTGCATTGATTCGTGTGTTTTTGCTTCGATTTCTGCAAAGTATTGTCTATATATAACCATGTGATATGAGTAAATGCGTGTGTATATAGAAATGAAGTAAATATGTGCACAAAGTATATAATTATTATTAATATATGTAGGAGAAACAGTGAGGCCAATTGCATTTATAAATTATTAACTTTGTCTCTGGGTTGGGCGCACAATTCAGCAGAAAAAATAGCATACATTAAGACATATATTTAAGAAAATCACAGTGAAATAAAAATAATAATAAATTATTAGTGATACAGCATAGTGAATAAAATTCACAGACTATCAGTGAGAGTCATACAAATTGCTTGAGAAAAAGTACAATTAGTCATTATTTGTATTTATTAGAATTCCTGTTCATTTGCATTACTGAAGCAGAATAGAAAAGTTGTCTGCGTAATTTGGTGAATCTTTAAACTTTCAAAGAAGTTTGGCAAAGCAGGAAGTATTCTGTAAATACTTGTCCCATACAAATTTTCCAAATGTGCGACCGAATTCGTGAGCGAGACACTTATAACTGGTTTTCGGCGATAAAATAGGCCAAATTTACAAATTAGGTGATGATGGGGCCGATTGCAGAAATCAAAATGATGTTTGCTGTGGAAAATAATGTCTGCCTCCAAAGTCACCCATCTTTTCCCTACATGGCATTTCAACGGTCAAACGCAGCTGTAAACATATTGAAGTTTAAAGATGTTATATTATGGGTTTTCATTTATACATGTAAATTTTTATTTAAAAATCTCCTTGTTCCAATATTCACACTAATCGTTCTTGAATAGTAAAATTTAGTAATTTTGAATGAATATTTGCCCATAATCTCATCGAATGTCTATTTTATTCAAGGTGTCGTCGATTCTTTTTATTTGCATACAAAAAACTCAATTCATCGAATGTGTCGAATGTAGACGGAGAATCTGAAGATATGTTTTTCATCCAAAAATTAATAAAAGTCACTGTATTACTTTTCCCTGTTCCTGGTTTGTTTCTTTAAATATTATGGAACAAATCGCAAACAGTTTAATCCAACAATATAATTTATGTGCGCGCTCACATATGGACAGCTATTTCTTCGGTTTTTGCATGCTTTATGTGAATACTGGGAAAGAAAGATTAAGTGAATTTCTGGGCGTTCATGTGACATAAAAAGTCAGTGTACTTTAGCGATTTTCAGTTGCATAATACTCATTCATTCGCACATAGGCTCAAAATATAGCAAAATCCAGAAGAAAGTCAACATGTTGACTTCATTGTGTGGAATAGAGAGAGAGTTAGTGCATCGGAGAGCAAGGTGGACAGGTGATTTTGATATGATGGGAGAAGGAAAAAACAAGCCAATTTAGCGTGATCAAGTGCCTAGTCACGGGAGAAAAGGAATTTGCGCGAAATGCATTTAAAATTCACATCAATTAATCTCCAGCATCAATCGCGAAATCAATCTCATGGGCAGCACTTTGCGCTACAGTCGCCACTTGGAAATGGGTTGAGGAAATAGTCAGTAATTAATTAACATTCACTTGGGCACAATTTGTATAATGAGATCACCAACAATGTCTCAATATGCGATGTCGCTGAAAAGACGAGATTTATCTCTTACTTTTGTGCCTTTTGAATTACAAATTTACCAATAAAATCTTGCAGAAACTTCCGCACAAGTCACAAATAATAAAAAATGTTGGAGTGTGTCGCCAAATGCATACACTCGGTGTGAGAAAAATAGAGACACATTCAAACACGCGTGACTTTATAAACAATCTTATTTTTTTTATTATTATGGAATTGCATGAGAATTTTGTGTGCAAAAACGCACAATTAGAGATGATATACAAAGAAATGTAATTATGCTGTGCGGAAAAATGGCAGGCGGGCACGAAATGGCATTTCACGACATTGAAACCCGCAAATTTCTTCCTCTCAGCACTAAAATGCACGAGCCTCTCACTTTTTGGCGCGAAAAGGCCCCTCATTATCAAGTTAACGACAAAATGAGCTGCTCACTTTGTACGACATGAGCGGAGATTTTAGTACACAAAGATAAAACATCACAAACTTATCCTTTCAATTATCTCTTAAGTAAGTGAAAATTTGTGGAAAATCAACTTTCTATTGCGCAAAGAGCAAAATTTTGCCATTCCATGAAACTCTCCCACGAGATTCACATAAGGTAAAACAGACACTTGAAGAAATGCATCTTGCAACAGACGAATTTTCATAAATTCTTATTATGAACGTATATAATGTTGTAGGGAGAGAAGTGCAATACTTGGGCCGCAATATCTCAATGGTAAATAATGTTACCAGCATGGGAATATATCCATAAGAGACGCGCATTTCACCTCGACACCACTTCTTTTATTCTCTGCGTGCTTTCCAGCAATTTAAGTGTCAAATTAGTTGGTGTTTCCAATTTTAACCCATTCGACAGCTATTTTATTTTATGCGCAAACACCTCTGATGGGTTTCATTCCAAGTGATAAATTTTCAACATTGCACCATCACTTCAACTCCCTTCTAACACACACTGTCCTCTAGAGAGATTTATTCCATTGTTTTGGGCTCTTTTTCTTCATTGTTTTATCATGAGCAATGTTGAATTCAGACAACTCGCAATCCACAGAGATAATTTATATGAAAATTCATAAAAATTTTATTTATTTGAGAAAAAACAATATTACAATTTCTCTTTTTCGCCCTCTGCAAATGTTGAACCACTTTTGTGGTCATAAAATGCAAGAAATCTCAAGATCACATTCATTATATTTACCAATCCAGCCAACAGACAAATTTGTTTAACCCATTAAATTATGACACATTCTGATTTCTTTCTTAAATTATATTATTGAACATCAATCATCACTTGTGTGTCGCTGAAAAGTAGCACAGCGACGCCACGTTTATGGATCCTAGGAGCTTTCTCACAATTTCACAT